TGTGTCGTTTGGTAAACTCGTAGCACAAACATACGACGGCGCTTCGAATATGAGCAGCTGCTACAATGGCTTGCAAGCGATCATCAAGGAGAAAGTTGGAAAGCAAGTTGCTTTTGTCCACTGTTATGCGCATACGCTTAATCTTGTTTTGGCCGACTCTGCAAGTGTTGATGTTCAAGTAATAAGCCTCTTCAATGACCTCGAAGCCTTGTACGTTCTCTTTAGCAAGACACAAAGAATCCATGATTTGTTCGAAGCTGTCCAACTGGAAGAGAATCTGAAAGTCCTTTCCCTAAAGAGACTTAATACTGTTCGTTGGCATTCACGCGAGTTGTGTCTAAAGGTCCTCTCTCGCGTTATGACTGCATTTTAAGTGTCCTCGAAACCATTGCGTTGGACAGTTTAATTGATGGAAACCCACGAAAAACGAGCATTGGCTTATTGAAGCAGATTCAAACAAAGCAGTTTCTGACTACCGCGTACCTCTTTCGAGAAATATTTGCATCCACTGGTCCGCTAAGCCGATATTTACAACGCGTTGATGTTGTTTTTGGAAAAGCCCTGGGTATGGTCGAAAGCGCGATTGACGAGCTCAAAGAATTGCGTAAAGAACCGGAGCTAATTATCAGATGCGTTGAGCAAAAACACGCGTGACTGCTCCCTCAGCGTGACTTGGCAACAACCAAGAATCAGACGTCGAAGACGAATGGATGATGAAAATGCCGAAGACGAACCTGCTGAAACACCAGAAGATCACTGGAAACGTAACAATCGGTTTGAGAAAAACCAACCCTTGCTCCAAGCTTTTTCGTTGTTTGCCCCAAGCCGTTTCCCACAACTTGTGAAGAATTTCAAAACCGCACATAATCTTCAAGCGTGCCTTAACACCTTTTGTGAAACGTACAGTATAGATGCGTTTAGATGTGCTGACGAATTGTTCAATTTTGCTCGTTCTTTAGAGAAATTCGACTGTTCAATTGTCTGCCAGCAAGAATATGATGATGATGACAGCGAAGACGGCGAGGACAACGATGGTTATGATGACGATGACGGCGAGGACAACGATGGTTATGATGATGATGACGAGGACGACGACGAAATCTCAAGCACGTCAGATAATGAGCAGAGCGACAGCGGCGGCAAGAAAGCTGAAAAACAAACGAAGAAAAAAGTTCCATCTTTCTCTGAAGCTCTTTTACTCCTTTGTAACCCAGATTATAGTTTGGTTGATACGTATCCAACTCTCTGTCGCGTTTATGCTATTGCTGTGGCCATCCCAGTTAGTTCGTCGACTGCAGAGCGTTCGTTTTCTGCACTCAAGAGGGTGAAGACTCGCATTCGCTCATCCATGGTTTAGGAGAGACTTGAATCATTGCTTTCAATGTCAATCGAGCGTAAAATTTTGCTCAAATGCGATAAAGAACATCTCATTAACTTGTACGCAGGGCTTTCTCCCGAACTGTCAAAAGTTCTACTTTGACTTGCATTTGGTTCATTGGTTGTCTTTTAAAACTGTACATGTGATATTATCATTATTATGCTCAATTTGCATAAACTATAGCTTATAGTCTATACGTTATTGACATTTGACCTGGAACAAAATTATGTTGCTTCTCTCATTATTGGCATATGACAATAAAAATTGTATTACAGTAAAAATTGTATTATAGTATAATTATATCCGTTGATAATATGCTACAACAAAACCTGACTAACATTGTTTTAGATTGGTACTTGGTGGAAAACTGTTTCACAAATGTGTTTTCAGAATGCTGGAAATGCCATTTCACAGACTTAGATTTTAAAAAAATTTCTGGAAGAGCAATCCCCCAGACCCTTCTAGGTCCCTCGTGCCTATGACACTTGATGTGTAAACTCGCACTAATTTTCGGGAGGCTGGGGGGGGCAAAAATCGAGATAACTCTTAGGGGTGACAAATTTAATACTGGCCCCCCCTTGAAATTTTCGAGCCACCACGCCACTGTTGGTAAAGACAAATTGGTCAAAGAGACAAATAACTCTTGAAGTTATTGTATTAAACACATTACCACATTGGACTAGTTAATTAAGCTATAAAAATGTTGTGTTTCTAATAAATTATTGTATGGGAGTATCTGGTTATTATCCAGTATCCGGTTATTAACCGGTCATCATTTTCTCCTGACCACTATCCGGTAGACTACTATCCGGTAAAACCGTATCTGACACATCCCTAATACTTTATCTTGCACATACTGAGTTTGAGATAGTGTTCCACCATGGCACCATGGATAGCATCACACCGGTACAGAATACTATACAGAAGTCCATCTTCATTGTTTTTGTGTGACAGCTATTCGTAATGATTCGTCACTCAACAAGTACCGTAAACAGAAGCAGTCACCCCCCTGGACATACACCATTTTGAGTATTTCCAGGGGGGTATGCTTCTGTTTACGGTACTTGCCGAGTGAAGAATTATGACGAATAGCGCTTTCGCAAAAAACAATGGAGATGGACTTCTGTATAGTATTCTGTGACCCCAGACACTATCCGCCAGCTAGCTAGCCTGCGTAACAGGTGTTTAGTGTGGGCGGGAGAAGAGAGGCTTTTCTCCCGCCCGCACTATTAAACACCTGCTATGCAGGGTACTAGCTAGCAGATAGCATGTCCCCATATATAGTGAACGAAAAATGCTCAGATTTATAAGGATTCTTGTCAAATTCTGTTTTTATTAATAGTAAATATATAGAAACATCAAAACTGCGCGGCCGATATCTCCGGATTCTCCGCCGGACCGCGCGATACAAACTTTCGACACAGACCACACTGGCACACTGGCCACTGGGCAGCAAACACACGTCTATATTTCCAGTATAAGTCCATTTTAACTTCGCCTATATTACCTTAACAGCTCTACCCCATCTTGCTTCTCTATACTTTGGTCTTGATGGACATAGTGACGATTGTTTGTGATGATCCTTCTCTTCTGCCTCATTTCTGGCGGCCATATTGGAAACCACTATATTTCTTTATTAGATGAAGTATACCTTTATAAAGAGCACATGATTGATCAAAACAAAAGAACAAAGGTCAAAGGATAGCCGGATAGGTTAAAAGAAATCGCGACTTTATTCAATAAAATCTCAAATTATCGTTCATAAAATAGATTCTCTATCATGGGTAGGAAGAAACAAGACACATCGAGAAATAATCATGTGCAAAATCTTTCTGCAAAACCATCGAAACTTAAGTCAAAAAAGAAGGATCCAGATGAATGGAAACCTTTTGGAAACCATGGTAGCGGCTATATAGCATTGGTGTTTCTACTGGGTAAGTGATGTATTACTCAGTATTAGGGTATGTGAGTTGTGATTATATAAAACCTATATATAAATCATGGTGGTGATTTATTGATTTATTTTTCCTTCTAGCTGCAATTGCTGGAATCCTTCACAGGTGAAATTTCTTTTATAAATATTCTGGACTACGTTTTTCTTAATACCAACTACCAAGCCCAATTAGATATTGAATATGTCAAATAACATAGTACATAGTGCTGAAATCATGGTTGCAGTAAGGGGATAGGCCATTTGGTCTTACCAAACTCCTCAGCATTTACCAAACTCTCGCTCGATAAGGGGCCACGTCCATATTCACGTTAATTTGCCATGCATAACATCGAATCGACGTTATGACCAGTATACCCACCCACCTCAGATAACGTTGATTGTTACCCTGTTGTATTTTGAGTGCTAAAAGAGCTCAAAATCAAAATGGCAACTGAAATATGGTATATAATCAATCAATTTATCTCAGAAATGCATTAAAATGCTGAGGCTTCAATTCAAAGTTATTGACTAAATTGTACTTGCCTTCGTTGGCACCAATTACTGTAGGCTCTTTATTATAAAATATGAGAAGTTTTATTGCAGAAAAATGTCGCGATTCGCGAACACAAATTGACCGGTATTTGACACGAAAAAAACGTCGCTTCAATACTTCGACCTTTATTTTGACCTCTATTAGTTGAAAATAATATAATACTGGCAAAAGTTGCACTTGCAAACATTAAAGTATTAGTGTCAGGGTCATGCATTGCAGGCTTTTATTATTGTTTACATTTTACTCAAATACAACAAATAGCGATAAAAATACCTTGTTTGGTACATTTCTGATAAGAATCAGACAAAAAGAGCAAGGATTATAAAAGGATGGTTTAAATATATTAGAATGCTGTTTTTAAGGGTTTGTAATCCAAGTGAGTATATATACACTTTAAGACCTGACCAGGAACGACTGCGAAAAATGCAGCACAAGGTCCTCTGGTAGGAATTGAACCTAGCCCTGCGATTTTTCGCAGTCATTCCTGGTCAGGTCTTAAAGTGTATATATACTCACTTGGATTACAAACCCTTAAAAACAGCATTCTAATATTAATTCCACCAATTAAGTGAAGTGCAAGCAATCAGATTTTGGTTTAAATTTATGATTGTAAACACTTTCCAGATCATCTAGTCTATTTGTCCCGAAAAATGGCCGCCAACAGGAGTTTGAGCCCGCAAATTCCTGGTGTGACACTAATCCTTTAAATATTTAAACTTCTGTCTGTTCGGATTTAAATAGTCAAATTGCCACGAGATAATGTCAAGGAGTTGATGTAAAAACCCACCCACCCATAACGTCGATTCGACGTTATGTGTGGCAACATGAATATGGACCTGGCCCCTAAACCGTTATATTGAGTGCGGAGGAGGCTAATAGTTTGGAGCCTCCAAGTTTTGCAACCAGCATTGAGATTGGACAATTTTTCACATGTCAAACTTTTGATGACATGGGATGTAACCGGAGGCGTAGCCAGGATTTTTGGTCAGGGGGGGCAGCAAAAACTTAGGTGGGGCCAGGTTTTACTTTACCAGGGGGGGGGGGCACAATTTTACCAGGGGATGTAATTTTGCAATTTATAATTTCGGTTTAAGTGACTCAACATGGAAGAGAAAATGACTGTTGCAAAAGACAAAGTTACACCCCATGTCATCACTATTTTGAGCCTTTTGACATATGTGAAACATAAAATCACAACATTGGTTGCAAAGCTCAGAAACAACTTTTTACCACAGCTTGGGGTAATGCTTGAATGCAAACGGTAACACCAAAAGAGAAACAGATTTAAAACATTAGCATACATATAGAAAATAAATAAGTAATCATATGGTACAATACTTTGTATGGGTTCTTGGTGATTCAAAAAAGTTTTCATTGTTAAAAAATTAGTTAAGAAGTTTCTGATTTAGATTTTTTAGAGACATAACAGTTCAAATTAAGTGAATGTTTATGAAAAAGAATTGCAATTGAGGAACATATTTCATTTCATGTTACAATAAAACCAGATTTTATTGATATAAATATTATTGTTGTTGCTTGTTGTGCTACTGACAGTACCCATAAATGACGACATTATGCAGAAAACTGTCAAGATGTCAATGCTTCTCGATCATATACAATTTTGTTGTAGAACTGGGTTCCGGGTAGCTCAACTTTTTTGTCTAGTAAATAAATACATCTAGAGGTACAGTATAAGTCATTAACTAACATTGTACGCTCTATTCAAATCACCGAAAACCCATTTAAATTTTAATTCAAGACAGCTCATTAAACAATTTTATATTGTGATTATATTGTAGTGCCCATGTTTCTCGGATGTTTGAAAATGAAAGATTTTTCTCCCACCTTTCAACACTGGAAAGAGAACTTTCCTTTAGAACTGAAATGGTTTGTAATTATTGCATTAACCAGCACTCACTCTTAAATCTCTTTCTATTAACTATGCTTAAATGCATGCAGATACTGATGAGGGCAAATCACTGATTTAAATGATGTAAACCTTCAGAAAAATCACCCCAAACAAAAATAGAACAAAAGAAGTGAAAAAAAAACAATGCCAAAAAGATATTAAAACTTAATTAAATAACTTATCTTGAACTCAGTTAATTAATTAACAGAAGATATAATAATACTTGCCTATGCTGTAGACCTAAAAACTGTAGGCTAAAGATGTACAGTACTATATAGAGCTTGAAAATATTGCAGGTGAAACCAGGATTCATAGTTAATTTGTAAACGTTCTCTGAGTTTTCGAAGTCCTGCCAGTCTACAGTCTTCGACGGGTAGATTAATAATGCGCTAGTGATATAAAATTGCACTGTGATTACAGAAAATTGCACTGCTGTTTGAGATTAACTGCACTGAAATCAACCAATCACAGTCGAGTAATATCTTTATGTATATTATTAGATATATAATAGCGGTTTACAATCACAATTACTGACACAAAATACAACTACTGACAGTTCCGCCTAGTAGGTATTAGATTGGTGACTAATTATATATTGTGCAGAATTTAAAGTTTTTTGAGCAAAAATCGGTATTGTTCTGGCAAATGTTATGAGTTGTTATCAGTGTCTTTCGTGCATGCAGTGTGCCAAGACTCTAATGTCGCTATATGTCGATAGTTGCCTTAAAGCACAGAGTAGAGACATACAGAGACGTAACTAGTGTACCCACTTTTTTTGTGCGCATGCTCGGCAAGTTACTAGATGCATGCATCTGATTGGATGACGACCTGATGACGACTCACTTTAAACTTGCTGAGCACGCGCAGTTGATCATTTTTCGCCCGGTCGCCTGAAAAAAAGTGGGTGCATGATAACGTAATCTTCCGCAGTGTTTACAACGGTCAGTTACGTCTCTGTATGTCTTATCTACTCTGTGCTTAAAGTAAGTTTACTTTAGTTTGTCAATTATTTTTCCGTTTTTAAAATCCATTCTGTCGTCGTTTGCCCACGCATGTTTTGCGATATTAGAGCCCTGCCTGTCTCGCCAATGTAACTCCACGAGCAATCTGAACAGTTGATCTGGTAGACTACGTTCGTCTGATTCTCAGGTAGTGGTCGGTCTTTTGCTGAGGGAAACATTTGTTCTAGTGTGCGTAGAGGTTTCGTATAGTTACTCGGATGTCGTGCGGTTCAAGAATGCGTCTCAGTGGCTCTGTTAGTCCTTTGATGTACGATAGGACGGCGTAACTGCGATTGGTCTTCGGTTCCACTAAGTCAAAAAACGATCGTACTAGTTGTTCGAGTGGCGGCGTTCTGTTCTCAAACATGACACGCTTCTGTTCAACTTGTGTCATGTTCTTCGCCACCCGGAGAACTATAGTACGATCGTCTTTTTGACTTAGTGAAACCGAAGACCAATCGCAGTATACGCCGTCCTACCGTACCGGTGCATCAAAGGACTAACAGAACCACTGAAACGCATTCTAAAACCTCTTACCTCACGACATCCGAGTAACTACGAAACCTCTCCACACACTAGAACAAATGTTTCCCTCAGCAAAAGACCGACCACTATCTGAGAATCAGACGAACATAGCCGGTCTACCAGATCAATTGTTCAGATTGCTCGCGGAGTTACATTGGCGAGACAGGCAGGGCCTTCAAAACAAGAAGAAAAGAGCACGAACGAAACGTGGAAAATGCAAGAGTGGCTCTAATATCGCAAACCATGCGTGGGCAAACGACCACAGAATTGATTTTAAAAACGGAAAAGTAATTGACAAGCTTTAGGGCAACTATCGACATACATCGACATTAGAGTCTTGGCACACTGCATGCTGCCAGAACAATATCGCTCTTTGCTAAAAAAAACTTTAAATTAAATTCTGCACACATATATAATTAGTCACCAATCTTATACGTAGGCGGAACTGTCAGTAATTGTCTTTTGTGTCAGTAAATGTAATTGTAAACCGATATTATATAGCAGCAGATTGCCAGTCGAAAGCTTGTAACAAATAAATATTTTTAACCAGAGAACGTGTACACAATTAACTATATAGAGCGTTTGCACTCATTCCCAGGGACCAACTCAACAAAAGCAATGGCGCCCATGTTGGTGTTCCAAGTGTTCCAGACAATAGAGTCTAATTAAAATTATTTTGAATTGGAACACCAACATGGCAGCTGTGACGTCATGTGCAAACGCTCTATACTGGTACTTTAAATTTTAGAATCCACTGTCAATGATACTTTTCCTTTTAAAAGTACACAACAGCCACTGAATTAGCCTTTTCCCAAAAGAGATCACACAGTGCATTCTGGGATCGTTTGGAGGGTCAAAATATATGGTGACAGGCGGCAAATATGTGAAAGAGTAGACGTATCTACTATCAAACACCAACTTTATAGACCACCTAAAATGAAATATCTCCTTTTTACATTAAACATTTAATTTAAATGTATGCTGCCATATTTCTTGTCCCTCCAACATGGGATTCCCGTAACTAGACCCAGGACTTTGGGAAATGGCTAATTACCCATTGTCACCCCAGTTACTATATACTGTAAAGTACAAATGATATTGAACGTTTCTTTTCTATAATATAGGGTCTGTATTATTCGTACTATAAAACCATTGTTGAAGCGCCAACATTCTGGAGTGGTGTACATGCGATTATGAATTGTAATATTACAGAATATCCTCAAACAACAAACACTCTAAAAAGGTTTAATTTATACCCTGAAGTAAGTGAAGTATTTATCGGTACATTACCATACTAATCAGTAATGGCTTGTATTTAGTGGACTTTAACTGTATGAAAATGTTCGAAATTATGGAGCATATTAGGTCGATGTACAGTATATATGGGCAGTTGGCGTATGGCGTAGATATTACATAAATTGATGACTTCATGAATTAATGACTGCACCAATTACGTCACATATCTTGTTTTGGCCTGGAAGCCTCGCTCTCATGAATTGTGAGCCAATCACCGTTCATCTTGAAACATGAGAATGAAGCTCCCAGGCCAAGATGAGATACGTGATGTAATTATGGAAAGGGTCTATTGACTTTTAGCATGATGCTGCATTCTCTGTAACCTCTATATATTGTAATTTAGGGATACTGTAGGTAACAAGGTCTCTACATGCGTTAGGTATTCTGTATGGTGTACTATTCTCCATTATATCACAGGCATCCCATGCTCACATGTGGTTGTGGTATATTTGTATTTTTATATTAGCTTACTATGACAGAATATATTTTGTCAAAAAATGTTAAAATATTGAATTAAATTGAGAAATAAGGTTGCTTACCACTACTACGATGTGTAATCTGTAAAATCAAGACGTTTCTGGGTTGATTTGGGGTGATTCAATCCCCTACATGGTGCCGGGCTGGCCCGGTTAACCGGACTGACTCGTTTGTTTAGGACCTTACTGTGGTTTTAAAACTCGTGTAAAATAAATTTGCGATAAATAATTGGTTTAGTATAGATGCAAAATCATCCTAAACCTGATTCAAAACTCATTTTGCGGCCGAAGGATTTTCGTGACATTTTTCAGCCCGGTTAACCGGGCTGACCCGGTCCATGTAATCAGCCCAGGCTAAGTCGACGTATCAAGCTTGTTCAATTCTACAGTATACCTTTATGGAATTATACGTAATCACTTTTGTTGTCTGCATGGTTTACAAATATGAAATTATTGACAGTGCAGTTTACCTTATAGGTCCTATTAGCAGCTGGATATCGATTTTATATTTGGGCGGCAAATCAGTTACAAATTCAAACAAAAATATGTTATCAAGTGAACAGGGGCCATAATCTACCGCCTGTTGAGAGTTGTGAAGGTACATGTAATTGATCATTTGAACTATAAGGCATTAGCTCAAAATCGTAACGTAATCTACTGTATATAGTGGCACATGAAGTGCTACCTAGTCTTAAAGCACTCCACGTCTAAAGTTAATACTTGTTACCTTTTATTTGCATGAAAAATAATACTGAATTCTTATTGGTAGAGAAGCATAAAATAAGCAATTAATGCCAATATACGTTGCTAATTTCCTCTTGAGTTGCTGCATTAACAAGTAATATACAGTATACATGAAGAATATAGCACAGGGTAAACTATCACTAGAACTTTTTTCCAATATCCTTACTATGGAAATATTATGGATCTTTGAAAATAGTTGTATAAAATAGTAGGGAAACCAATTTTCATCCTAATTGCAATTTCCGTATAGTATGGATCTAGTGATGGAAATAGTATCATAATGGATATACTGTGCTATGGAATTAGTGATGCAGTCGCAAATTCCATACCATGGATTTCACTATTTTTTCCAGTGCATCATATTGCGAATATTACATAGTTTGCATTGCCATCCAGCAAATTTGGGATTGATTTTTTTTTCAACAAGGAATGGGCGAATTGTCGTACTTTTATGTCTATCCAATATTTTACCTCAGTGGAATTACAATGTCTTGTTTCTTTCTACTATGTTTTTATTTGAGGTAAGTGCATCTGTACGCGAGAACGTTTTAACTGTTTTTATGTGCTTGCGGTGATCTTTTATCGCTTTGCAAATATTAATTTCTAATGTGTAATTTCTACTAGCCCCTCCCTGACCTTGCAATCCAAAATTTGCTACGCAGCCCCTGATATTGGTGCTGATGTTTGCACCATATATAGAGCATCTTATCAATAACACGGTTTTCGCTTGTCATTTTGCAGTGGTAGCATATGGGGAGGAATTATTGGAACTGCTTCGTATTTTTTCAACCATGGTGAGGTAATTAATGATATATCTTGTTAATTTTCCATTATGTTAAAGGTGTATCCAACTGTCTTTATACTGTATAGAGCTTGCTTTCGTTGGTAGTGATGCAACTAGCTGAAAAATATATTAAGGTCTAAGGAGAATTTAGACGTTTCGAGCGAAGGCCCTAACGAACTCCAGACGAAAGTCGAAATTCTCCATATATTTTTCAGCTAGTTGCATCCCTGCCAACGAAAACTTTTTATTATTATTGGCACTATACCTACATTGAGACAGACACTTCAAAATAATGTATATACAGTAGCTTTGTCAATCATGTAGCATGTATAAACAAAGACAAAGTGCAATTTGTTTCATCGGAAACGAAATTGTATACATTCGATCATTCTTGACATGTTTCCTCTCTATGTAGCAGCGAAAACTGCAGGCACGATAACTCATTAGGTTTTAATATAATTTCATATTCTTTACTTTTGTTTTCTATTTCAATTACTTTTAGAATAACAAAACAAAAGCAATTCTCCCTTCCCTCCATACACACACACAAAATCATTTTGCTTTATGATGTGTACTGTTTCGTGCTTTGGATCCTCCAATACCACATTTAATGGTCACCAGAATTTTAGGGCATCGGGGGGTTTTCTGCTGTCATCTCACAATAGCCTGCGTAGTGGCTCTACTCTCACGATGAGTCAATGACGCCTACTCTGTTTTCAAGCATAAATAATTTATCCCGGGGTTAACTTTATTTCTTTCATATTAGGCAACTCGTGTAATGTGGACGCCCCCTTTACGTGAGAGTTTTTCATTTCCACTGCTTGTTGTTCAACTGTTGTCAATAACTATTGTCTTGAAGTAAGTGTTATTTGCAACCTTTACATCCGACTTTACGCTAAGTTTACCATTTCGACACTGACCCCAAACACCTCGACCTGAACTTTCAAATTAGCTTTCACCTTTAGAAGCTTCCGAGGTTAACTTTACGTTCCGACTTCTGACATTAACTGAATTAACTCCAAGGCTCTGTCCTTCAGACATGAACATTTCCATTCTGAAGTTACAGGTAGCTTTACACCTTTACCATCTAAATTTGAGGACAGGACTTTAAGTTAAACTTGATTATTGAAACAGTTTGAAAGCTTAGTTGCTTCCACCGTCGGCTTCAAATCGCCGGTTGGCTTGTTTAGTCGTGCTCAGTAATCTGTAATTTTTGTGATCGGCTCATCTCTAGTGTAAAAGACAAGATGGAGCTACACTGTAATTTGTATCTTCATCGGTGGGTTGGGGGCATTTTCCCCTGGGCCCGAAACGCGAAGCGTTGAGGTCAATTCCTCGCCCTATTGACCGACACTGAGGTGAATAATTGTTTTAGCATATACCATAGCAAACCAAAAATGACCATAACAAAATAGAAAAGACTAAAAAACAACGAAAATCCTTTTTAAAACAATTTGTATTACAGCTTCCCTTATAGTTGTAAACAGAACAGTATTTATATGCTTTTAGTACTTTTATTCATTAGCAACCTGAACTGTAGCTTCGTTTGGTACAAAAATATTCTCGTCTGCAACCGGAACAGGGGCCCCTGGGAAATTTGTGCCCGGGCCCCACTCGGCGGCCCTGTCTGTGACCAGTACTTGGCCACAACAGCCGCAACCACTTCTGTATCAAGGTGTATGTCTAGGCCATACACTAGTAAATAAATGAAAACTCAGTAACTAGTTTTCAAATCATTGACACTTTGTTATTTCTTTAGGCATCCTAAACCAAACTGGTATCATACCAGTTTAGTATTTATTACGACTCTTGGTTTTATGTTGCCGTGGCAGGTATGATTAGAATACCAAATCAATTCTCGTTATAATAAGTGAATGTTAGGGTTTGTAATCCAAGTGAGACTGCGAAAAATGCAGCACAAGGTTCTCTGGTAGGAATTGAACCTACGGCCCTGCGATTCCGGTGCAGCGCTCTAACCAACTGAGCTATATATAGGTAATCGGGTGCGCGGGTTGTTATAAGGTGGACTTCAATGAGGGATTCTTGCACTTCACTTGGTGGAATTAATATTAGAATGTTAGGGTTTGTATGAACTTACGGTTACAGCTTAACAGCTGGCCTCTGTAGCTCAGTTGGTTAGAGCGCTGCACCGGAATCGCAGGGCCGTAGGTTCAATTCCTACCAGAGGACCTTGTGCTGCATTTTTCGCAGTCGTTCCTGGTTAGGTCTTAAAGTGTATATATTCTCACTTGGATTACAAACCCTAACATGCTAATATTAATTCTAATATTAATTCCACCAAGTGAAGTGCAAGAATCCCTCATTGAAGTCCATGTTATAATAAGTGGCTACCGAAATGCATAAAATGGACACTTCCCGAATTTGGTGGCTGGCAAAGAAAACTACTTATTTACAATGAATTACATTGTCCGCCTCGATTTCAAGCTATTGTTTCATGTGCATTCAAGCAAACTGCCAAGATATTGTCTGAACTATATCAAGCTCACGTCAGCTTACGTATTACAAATGCTACTATTTTGGTAAACGCTGATAGCGTATTCTTTTTTCTATTTAGTTTGCACAGTTTGCTTTGTTAACGCAGGTAAATGAAACCTTTAAAAATATATAAAGAATAAGGCGCTAACCTATCAGCCTGGGGATCAATATTGGCAATTGAAAGCTGAAAATACCTTTTCATCTATTGAGGTATTTTGCCTGTGGTTTGCCGAAAGGTCGTATACACATACCAGGGTTCGTGAATTGGTACATGTAGATTTTTTTTCTTCAGACCTGTGCACTTTTTGGTCTTTATGCTTTAAAGTTTATAACAGCCAAGAAGATTTGTTGTATTTTGTATGGTCTTTGTGTAAGTAGTTTAACTTTTTGCCTTTGCTGAACAAATATAAAGTGGTTAGAAAGTCTTTTAAAAAATAGCGCTTATGTAAATGAAAACTAGTTACTATTGCCTGTTATGTAGATTGCTCATGTGGCGAATTACGTCTGTCAATTTGGAAATTCCATGTTGCTCAGGTACGGAGAAAATATTTTGATATTGGTTATATTGAATGCGAATATTATGCTATTGTTTCCAGGGGCGTACCATACTGCGAGGTTGGGGGTTAAGCAACCCCCCCCCCGGTAAATTTTATGTAGGGTCTTTATCAAGCACATATGCTTTTGTTTCTGTAGCTTCTTAGCAAATAGACAATAGTACTTCACAATATAGAATTTTAATCAAATTGAAACACATTGTATACCTGTTAGAGAATATTTAAATTTTAACTTACTTTTAATTTTCCGACTTAGTTAAAACTCGAAGGGAGGAGATACGTGAACCAACGCCCTTTTCCTCAGTGAAAATGGTGTGTCGACCCCCTTTCGCAGAATCTTCACTTTGATCTCCGCGCACACTGGTTCACACACAATAACATTCAGGGGACTGTATTCTATCGATTTATTTCATTGGAAAGATTATATATTTACAACGCGTATTAAATTACAGTGGATCACTATGACGTATTTTATAAGCAATACTATATACATATATTTACATTAAGTAGCAGAAGCGACTGCTGTGCGGAAAACTGGCGGCACTGCGCTGGGAACTAACAACACCCCCCTCCCCCCAATTGAAATGGCGGAGGAACGCCACTTAGATTGTTTTAATGCTTAAAATATCTGTATTCTTTATTTTAGTTCATTTTTTATAACAGCTGTCATTTCAGTATTGGTACGTTCGTCATCTCATTGCAATATTTACATTGGTTAACTAATGTGGCGTTTGCATAATCCAGTGCTTTGTCGAAACGGATACAAGGCTCGATCATTATGGCGACTTAAATTAAGTTACTCTAAACATTTTTCTAGTTAGCCTAGAAATAACCGTATTTGGGTTAACGTAACATTCCTGGTTAAATTTCCCGGTTATGTTAACCTTTTTTTCCCACTATACTTAATTTGACCAGGATGTTCCGATTCAATTAACCAGACAATGTTAGATGGATAAATAACCAAGGGCCATGGTTATTTATTCACCTAACATAGTCTGGTTATTTTAACAAGGACTTCCTGTTCAAATATAACCAAATTCCTGGTTACATTAGCCAGACCTTGGTAGGATGTGAGATAAAATAACCAGGAAATTTGACCAGGAATATTAAATTAACCCAAATAATATTATTTCTAGGTTAACCACCTAGATAATTTTAACCAGAGTGTATAGAGTGTACTAGTGTAGGTTCAAATTCAAACAGCAAATGAAAGATCAGTTGTTGAGTAGATCCTATTTGGACGTTTAATCTGTCTTTCGTTTACAATTATCTGTTGCTAAAAAGTGCATTATTTTTTAATTTCTGTGAAAACGAATTGAATCAAGGTTTGCTGTCTTTAACCAATCAGAAACAAGATCACTTTCGATCTTAAAATGTTATTTACGTCATAATAATTCTAGCTACTGTACCTAGCCAGCCAGATCCAGACTACTTGAACTTGTGGAGTATATGTCAGATGGAAGAAAATGGCTCACATGGGTTAAAACAGATTTTTTCTAATTTTTAGGTGATTGTCAAGTTGGAACCGTACCTTAATAAATTACCAAATATTATTTTAATATGGGTAAGAAATGATGACTGACAATTGCCTTTATTCAAATTTATTATATAGCAAGTGTCAAAGTTCAATTTTCCTGTTTGCCGATTGGTCAAAACCGCACTACGTGTCGGTCCACAAAACGTCATGTTCACTGTACGCTTTGGTGAGGGGGCAACCGGTCAACAATTAAACAATTATTGACTTGTCAATAATAAAACAAGAATTGAGGCGCAAGTTGTTCGCGTCAACCAACAAGTTCGGTTTATTACAGTTTCGGAATACCAGGTGAATTATTGAGATTTTGACACTTGCGGTATTTGGGCTGCAAAATACGCTGTTTCTCTCGGTCTCAGTAAAGAAGTGATAAATATTTAATCTTGTTTCTGTAATGTTTGCATGTTACTGATCTTTTGCAGGCTATTCAAGGCTCGATATTTTTAATTGGCACTTTTGGAATAAAGTTTTTGTCAGCAAAGCTCCTGAATATCAAAGATGATGTGAGTTTTACTCGAGTGTTTATCGTAACCAGGTGGGGGAGGAACCGGAGTGGGGAACGACCATCTACCGAGCCTGTTGGGTATATGCTATAATTCATGAAGCTATTTGTCACTGTTCTGGGGAAGTATGTTACGGCAAGGTCCGAGGGCCGAGCAGGTTATTATGTAACGGGATCTAAGATTCGAGGCTTGTCAAACAAATCTTTCCAAATATCGTTGCTTAGATGTTCAGATATAGCCATCCGATTTGACATGCAAGGATGACATCCCCACCCAACATTCCCCATTAAATCTATCTCTGCATGTGGGGGGCTTCGGTGGCGCAGTCGTCAGAGCAAGC